GCCATTGTGCATCCTTGAGTGGATGTTTGATGTCTTTTTCCGATGCTAATTGGAAGATAAGGGTATTCATGTTAATTTGGATATGTTCAGTGGCGTAAATCGTGGAGATTAGTTTTTTGGGTGGTTTAAGTTTCAAGCAGATTTTTTCTGCCTCCAGTAGCTGTGATTCTTGGGAGTGTATAGTGGATGTTTTGGGTTGTAAGTTTATCCAAGATTGTAATTGCCTATGAGAGAAGGTAGCTGTGGTGGGTAGTGTAAATTGGGTAGTGTAAAGTGGGTAGTGAGAACTTTTTAAGGCTTGGGCCTTGCAGTAATTGTGACATGTTGAGCACGCCGCGCCTATTCCAAATCCTGTAGTTGAAATTGGGGATAAGTAACTGTAGGACTTCCAGTTGAATGACTGGGGAGATTTGCGTAATTGGGAGCCATTTTTGTTTGGTAGTTGTCCCAAATGGTAAGGGTGAACTCGGTCGTAGGTAGTAGGTTGGCATGTTTCGGCCTACGAGATTTCGGTAGCCATGCCAGTACTTTTAAGGGTAGTCCATTTGCGCAGGTCCTCTCTATTTCTGTCCAAGTAAGTTGCTTATGGTGGTGAAATGTGGACAGCTCGGTAATATCCTAGTATATGTGGCATTCCCATCTCTCCATGAGAGAATAGCCGATAGAATGTAGTTTTTGATACTTTAGGTCTGATGTTTCCCCATATGTAAGTATTAAGAAATCTTTGTACATCCAATAAATATTTTGTGGGAAGTTTAAGTGGGAGTGTTCTGAAGAAGTATTGGATTTTCGGTAGAATTATCATCTTTATTGCTGCGATTCTTCCAGCCCAGGAGAGGTATTTATCCTTCAACGCTTGGGTGATATTTTTCATTTCATTAAGTAGTTTTGTGTAGTTTGCCTTGAACAGAGTTTGTTGTGGGTGTGAAGTTAATCCCTAAGAATTTTATATAGTCATGTCTCCAGTCATAATTAAAATGTTTGTTTTAGGGTTATCATACCTTGTGCTGGGATGTCTACTCCTAATGCTAATGTTTTTGCAATGTTGAGTTGATAATAGGAACATTTGCTGTACTGGGTCAGGACCCTGTGGAAGTTTGGTAGGGAGATGTGCGGTTGTTCTAAGGTCAGATGGATGTCGTCTGCAAATAAGGACAGTTTGTATTCTTGTCCCTTGAATTAAACACCATATATATTTGGGTTGTCTCGTATCATTTGAGTTCTAACACTAATATGAAGAGTATCAGGGAAAGCGGACACCCCTGTCTGGAGTCATTTGAGATGGTAAAGTTTTGGGATATGAAACCTCCATTCACTACTCATGCCGTTGGGGAAGAATATAGTGCAGTGACAAGTGATAAGAAGTGAGGCAGAAACTCGAACCTCCGAAGTACCGCTAGGAGGAAGGGCCAGTGGAGTCTATGAAAGGCTTTTCAGCATCTAGAGACAGCAGTACACTTGGGACCCTCCCTCCCTGCGTCCCGTATAGGAGGTCTAAGACCTTCCGAGTGCCATCTGCCCCCTGTCTTCCTCACACAAAGCCCACCTGATCTTCCCTGATTAGGGTCAGGATGATGGGTGTTAATCTATTTGAAATTTTTTTTTCCATGAGCTTGACATCTGTGTTTAATAGAGATATTGGCCTTAGGTTTTGGCTTCTGTCTGTTTTTTTTTCCTGGTTTTGGGAGGGTGGTAACATGTGCCATTAGCATCTCCGATAGTATGTTCCCTGTTTGGGTAATGTGGTTGAATATTTTTTCTAGGTAGGGAGTTAAGATGGGTGCAAATTGCTTATAGTATGTATTATTGAAGCAGTCCGGGCCAGGTGACTTCCCCTGAGGGAGTGAACGGATAGTGTCCAGTATTTCTTGTGTTGTTATCGGGCTTTGTATGGTGAGTTTGTGTGCAGTTGATAACGTTAGCAATATCGTCTGTTTTAGGAAGTCTTCTATCTCCTGTTCAGTTGGTTGGTACAAAGAGACATCTTCTTTAAGGTTGTAGAGCGTATGGTAGTATTTAATGTTTATTTCTTGCAGGTTGTGTATCTTCTTCCCTGTTTTTGCAAATAGGTAGGGGATTTTGGAGTTAGCTTGTTTCTATCAGAGTATTGCTGCTAAGTGTTTCCCTGCTTTATTTCCTTGGGTGTACGCTTTCAGTTTCAATTTAGTAAATATATGTGTTGTCTTAGTGAGGGCCATGGCATTGATTTAGTTGGTGATAGCCGCTATGGTCCTAGCATATGCTTCCAATGGCTGCAAAAGGTGGGCACTTGTCATGTCCCGAGGTTTCCGCAGAAGGTCAAGGTGTTCTCGCTGTTACTTTCAGAGATAGGATGCGCAGCTTATTAGTAATCCTCTTATTACTGGTTTATGAGCTTGCCAGATGTACAGGGTTGGTACATCTGGGGTGTCGTTGAGCATAAAGTACGTTTGGATGCTATCTGACAGCTGTTCTATAAATAGAAGGCCATGCAGGAGTGTGTTGTTGAGGCACCATGGTGACTTGACTCTGTGTTGGCTCTGTCAGTCATGGTTATACCATACTATGTTCCCCATAGTGCATTGAGTTATCGTCGGGAGAAGGGAACCAGAGATTAGAATGTGGTGTATTCTACAGTAGGTTTTGTGTACCTGTGAGAAGAGCGAATATTCTCTATCATTTGGATGGTGTGTCCTCCAAGTATTATATAGCCCATGTTTTAGGATTGGTTTTGTGAGTGCTTTGTTTGTGGATTTTAGTTTAAGGTGTCTATCAGAGGTGGCAGGAATTGTGGAGTCTATGCGGGAGTTCAGTGTGTGGTTGAAATCACCACATATGATCAGTGGGCCATTCATGTTGGTTGGTATTTTTGCCAGCACTTTCTGAAGGAAGTTCCGCTGTTGTTCATTTGGGCTGTATAGGCAGACTAGCATGTATGGAAGATTATTTATTATTATGCAATATAAGATAACTTATCTACCTTGGTTGTCTTTTTTAATGTGGAGAAGTTCCACTGTGAGTGAGCTGTGCAATAGAATGGATACCCCTCTAGCTTTGGAGGAGTAGGTTGATATTGGGGAGGGTAAAATTTGAGACCAAATTTGGGTACTCTGTTTGTGACAAAATGTGTTTTTTGTACGCATACAATATCTGCTCTGATGCGTTTTAGATCGTCCAGCAACATGAGCCATTTGTGAGGTGTATTTAACCCCCTAGTGTTGTGTGAGTAGACTTTCATGGTTAGGATAATAAGGGAAGATTAGGATAGCGGTGCCTTAGAATGTTCAGTCATGTCAGACCGTCACCTGGTCGAGTTGGGTTATGGATGGGAGCAAGGGTAGGGTTTTGGTATATAGGGGAAGGTGATCTGGACAGGGATCAAATAACGTACATACAGTTGACCTCTATCGGTCGGGTACACGGGATGTACCATGGGGGAAAGGAGAGAAACTTCCTAAAGGGTGGCTTTTGGGCTCCAGTGTGGATTGTGTGTCAAAGCAAAAACAGTTTTGATCAAAACAACAGAAATCAATACACATGTAACATATAGGGCAGCAATGGGTTTGATGGCAATGGTAGCTTGGGTGTACATAAATCATGCCTTACAGGTAGCCCCGCACGGTCTACGTAATTTACTCCCTCCTGACCATGATGAGACCCTGTCAGGGTCAGATCCATTTTAGCACCCCAGTGGTATTAATGGGAAGGTGCATGCCTATCTAACCTATTGGGCAGATGAGTCCCGCCTGGGGGAAGGGTATCGCCCATGGTCTAATGTGAGCAGTTGGGTGTCCAATAGCGGGGTCCTCGCAACCTGCTATCAGAATTTGGGCTATTCGATTCAGAAGATTCTGGCTCTGCAACAGTTACTAGCGATGCAGTTCAGTCTCCAGGTTAGTGCTAGGTACTGTTGGTAAGCAGCGTTCAGTCTGCCAGCGCTTTCCCTAAACAATAAAACCATAATACCTAGATTGTCTGTCAGGGTGCGGAGGTTGTACTGTGTACAATGTTTAGCACAGGACACCCATATAGGTATCCTATAGCCACTCTGAGGTCGCCTGTCAGGTCATTGCTAAAATAATGAAGAAGGCAGAATATGTATGTGGACCATAAAATGGTTGGAGATCAAACACATCCCGCCAGACTCACCCAAGCATTGCAATTAGAGTTTGTGACTGTAACTGCGTTAACATGCTGTTTATGTGGAGTGTTCCATCTGGCATGTTATGTGATGTTGAGGCTATGATCAAGTCGTGCAACACCTTTAGTATGCTGTGTGCTGTACCTTGTGTGCCCTCTCGGCTATGGTAATGCCCCGTCATATTTTAATCTTCCTCTTGCCCCATTGGTGTGAGTAGGTGACTTTTAGTTCATCTAGCTAGTGGGCGAATGTGTCCCATGCCGTATGGCCTGTTATACTGGTGCGGGTGCTCCAGAGGAGTCACCCCGCATTGACATCAGGCCTTATGATTCTGATCCTATAGGGTTGAGCCCCGCAGTGGTTATCAATGGGTTTCACCCACTCGTTGGGCTGGCACAAAGACCCTAGCTATAGTGAATAGCAGGGTTAGTATTTTAGCACGTGTCCAAACATTAAAACCATAATACACTTAAAAAATGAAAAAAAAAAAAAATATGGTCAGCATTGAACCAACGTCTGCATTAGGATACTTGTGACTGGAATTTGCCTCGACACGGCACAGTTCATAATTTTATTCCATGTCAGTCCTGCGGCTTTGATGGGGAGGCGTAGAGGAGGCACCTTCAGGTCTCTTGGTGCGTGGGCCCCATTCTGCGAGTACTTTCATGCCCTCCTCCAGGGTAGTGATGAATTTTGTTTCTCCATTTTTGGTGAGTATCAACTTCGTGGGGAAGCCCCACCTGTAACGGATTCCCTGGTTTCTCAGCTCTGACGTAACTTGTTGGAAGTCTTCGCTGCGCCTTAGAGTTGCTGCTGACAGGTCCACCATGATGCGTACGGTGGGGTATTCTTTGTGTGGGTCAGACTTTCTGCGGCAGGCTCAGAGAATAAGTTCCTTAACATGAAAATAATGTGACTTGAGCAGCACATTGCGGGGTGCAGAGTCCAGTAAGTATTTTGGTTTGGTGACTCTTTGAACCCAGTCGACTAATAGCATGTCTGCGGGTATTCCTGGGGCATAGGCATGCATAAGGCCCCAGACATATACTGGGAGGTCTCCGCGGAGCACAGATTCTGGAATTCCACGCAGACGCAAGTTATTTCTGCGTGCCCTGTCTTCATAATAAACCATGCGGGTTTCCATTATCTCCATCTTGTGCTCTAGGGCCTGTACATAGTCTGCCATGTCATTGTGGGCGGAGGCTAATTCCTTACACTTCTTCTCTGTGTGAGACGTTCTGGTGGATAGGTCAAGGGCCTCTTTTCTGAGTTGGTCTGCCGTTGATTGCCAGGTATGTATGAGCTTTGTCGACATGGCTTCGAGAGCTCTCTTGAAATAATCTCTTGTGAGGCATTCAGTGGGTTTTAACTCGTCCGGAATTCCAGTGTGATTACTGGCGTCGGAATCTTCAGCGCAACCTTGTAGAGCAGCCCGCGTGGCCTCAGACGCGGAGGACGACTTCTGGCCCCAAAAATTTAGCTTTTCAGCTCTTGAGGTACATTTATTTGTCTTGGGTTGAGACATAGTTGGTTGGGGTAGTTTGAGTGTTTCTGCAAGCGTAATTTTCAATGGTATTTGAGCCATATGCTGGAGCACGTTTATAAGCAGCCATCTTGCTCGGCAGTCAGCCATACCCCCCCGTTACATATATTTTGATGGTACGATAGGGAAATCCCAGATGCTTTTCTTCCATTCCCGGATTCATTGCAGTTGAGTAGGGGTTGTTGGAGTTTAGTGTTTTAGTGTTATTTAAGGAGATTTAATTGATCCTCTTCACCTGTTGAGTTCCACTCTGTTACATATGGTGCTGAGATAAGATGTCAACAAAGGAAGCCAGGTCTGTCCATCCAAGGACATTAGAGAATAGTTGCTGATCTGTCCATCCAATGACCTAAAAGAACAGGGACTGATCTGTCTGTCCAAAGATATAATTCCACTCATTACAAGGCCAGATACATCCTTTGTAATCTGTGGCCTGGTTCAACCCATGCGGCCCATATTATTACATCCCTGCCTGTAATAAGCTAGAGGCTTGATACTATAACCTTGTTGTGAATACCTTAAAGAAACCAATCTCTTTATAAATCAGTATATATCTATCTATCTGTATATCTTTCTATCTATCTAATGCTTTCATTCAGTTATATGTAGATAACAATAATATATCATATTTCAATCATGGCTTATCTGTTTCAAACACTATTCAGGATGCGTTTACACTTTCATTCATTTTGTATTATGACTATTATGGTAATAGAAATAAATTTTAATTGTTTGCACCTTGTATATCTGCATTTTTATTCTATTCTATTACCTGACAAATGCCAAGTGAAACCATTAATTGCTTGCCCAACAATCATCAAATTGGGTTTCTATAGTAACATAACAAGATTTACATATATGCCTTTTGTCATTGAAATAGTTACGTGGCAATCATATATTGGGTTTAAAGAGAAAATACATTACTGGAGTGTTAGTTATTTGTTAGCTCTCAAAACATATTAGATTGCTAAATCTTACCATAAAAAAAATAATTAAGCGGGATTACTCACTAAAAACAAAGGGCATTCAGAAAGAAGGTCCACAGAGGAAATTAGTCCTTATAGTTACATTAAAATGACTTAAAACTGGGTAGAATTAGAAATAAATTTTAGACAGAATTTTGATGGATGAATGATATAATGCTAAAAAACAAAACAAAACAAAAAGCATGGTTAAGCAGGTTCATAATACTACATAAATACACACTCTGTTTCCAATATAGGACAGATACAAAATGTACACAATACATGGAACTTGAAATAAACATGGGTAAAGGAGTTCAGAAATGGGGAGATGTGGACATGGTTAAGAAGGATAAGACAGGGACGAGATGCATGGGTATTGTAAAAGCAGAAATCTGAAGAGTATTGTAGAGGACAATCAAGAGCAATAAGCGATATGAGTACATTTTGGTGACGAATAACATTTAGATCTGTTAGCTAAGGGACAGCGTGGCTATGAAGAAAAAGAAATTACTCCACTCACATAGTGACGTTACCTGAGAGGATTGTCAATATTGTGCTCTTAACGGGGTTGGCTGGCTTCTTGGTACCAAGTTAAATATATTTATTTTAGACATACACACAGGAAAAAAGGCTTTTTAGTTCATAATGTTTTCATACAATTGGAGACATTAATTTATTTAAAACTCAGAGTTAAAAGTGTGAAATAGTCGTTTGGGTTCACAGGAGAGTGTGGTTATGAGGGTATTGAAGTAATTTACTTTTGCAGAGGAAAGAGCCAAGCTGTAAGAGCGCAGCATAAATATATAGTGAAGAAAGTCAGATGTGGAGTGAGACTTTCTCCACCAGCGTTCAGCAGTTCTGGAGCATTTTTGGAGGTATCAAGGCAGCTTGTAGTTGGGGGTGCTTGCTGCGTTTAAGTGTAGGAGGTGCCATGATGTCTAGTTGAGAGTAGAGGGTGGAATTGTAGAAGGAGATTGCAGACTTGGGCAGGTGAGGTTTGAGATAGGTAAAAGGAGAGTTTGGAGGTTAGTGGAGACGCGCTCTAGGTCAAGACATTGGAGTTTTCTGTGATATTGATGTGTCAAGGGTGATGTCAGTTAGGTCTTGGGTGTGCTGATGTCAAAAGTCAGCAGATGGTAGTCAGATAGAAGAAAAGGAATATTGGAGAGATTAGAGGTGGTACATCCACATGATTCTTAACTATAAATGTATTTTAGCATGATTTCACTTTGCCAAAAACTTCTATATGTAGAGTGTGAATGGTGTGTGATGCCTTACATTAGATGCCACCTTCAATCAATCATTTATATGTTTAATATGGTTATGGATCAAAGGGACATGTATTTATTTTGAATTTGTCTACTTTTCAATTTTGCCATAAGGAGTAGTATAATCATTTTCTTGACTAGATATTTTCTGAGCTACCAAAATTTTAGGGGAAATTGTACCCAGTGAGATGGAATAGAATGCGAGAAGTAAAGTAAACTTCTCATGGTCCATCTTCCATCACATTTATTCTTGACGGCTGGAATGTTCTCAGTTCTGTTTCACTGGTTCTCTTTGGATATTATGTTCTTGGTTCTATTACAGGGTGCCGGTTGGATCATAGGACAGGTATGGTTTTCTTTCTTACTGTCTACTGTTATTTTACTGTCAAGCTTGAAGGAAAACAATAGCTGGGTGAATATATGCAGAATGTGTTAGAATGAATTGATGTTTGTAATATTACTTCAATTTTATTGTATAAAAACGCAAGACTGAAATCAGACAAACTCACAGCCTAAAGAGATGCTCAATCAAGTATTACCAGTATGTTTTTCTATGTGTAATTACCTCCTAGGTAGCATCACAGTAGGGTTGTACATAACTAGTATGAATACAAATCAGACAAATGAAAAGGAAACCTGGGAAAATCATGAACTAGAGAAAACAACCACAAGTATACAACACTAACTAACTGAACTGAAAACCCAGGCAGCAACACGGTCGCACATTGTTTCACAGAGTCACCCATAACTTGTCTAGTTTGAAAATAGCTTTAAAAAGACTCTACATGCTTAAAGAGACAATCTAAATGAAGTAGTTATGGTGCCAGGAGGCCCCATGGAGGCACTCTTACCTCAAGTGGTTAAACCTTTTTCAAACAGTTTGACTCCAATGTTGCCTCCAGTAGCGATGTCCACTCCCTCCTACCCTCCCCCCACCCCCAAACCTCTAGGTGGCATCCAGCTTCTGAACCATTATTTCTATGACATTATAGAGTGTCCAATGCTAAATTTATATAGGTAGCTAAAAATAAATAAAAACACCTTAAGGCAATACAAATATAAGCACAATATCAGAGTCTATATAAGGGTTCTCCTACTCTCCCCAGTCACTCAGATGTGTTAATACAGGTCTATGCCATAAGCATAGCCTTTCCTGACACAAACTGATTCTCATGTAAGTAGATAGACCATATTTTTAAATATATTCTTCTTAATATCTGTACATACAGCCATTTGTAAATTGCACATACTGTCTTTATAAAATCTTAGAACACACTGTGAAAAATGTATGGCAAGCTATTACCCATAGGCAGGACCAGAACCCTTGTAGATCTCAATTCATGTCCAACATAAATCACTCCTATGCTATTCAGTTGTATAGTTTTATTAGACATATCATTGGGATTAATATCATCTACCTGAGTAGGTTGTCATTTAACTTTGTTTATTGCACAGTGGTAAGCCCGGCCACCTCTACAAATGGTAATACTCCGATAGCCTCTTTTCCTATCCTCATATACAGAGTAGGAATTAGGCATAGCCCTTTGCATACAGAGGTCATCACAAACCTGACCCCAACATGACACGAGGTATGCATAGGAAAATATGAAGAGTTGAATGCTGAAATTAATAATATTATTATCAAATAAGTTAGATTCAAAAAAACATTATGTGCTCTGTTAGTTTCCATTTTTTTCTCTTTTACAAACAAATTTGGTGGAAAATATTATTTATGAAAACACCAACGCATTTCGCAGTGCCAAATCCACCCTAGAGTCTCTTTTTTTAAAACTCTTAACAATGAAGGCACAATGAAGTGGAATAAAGTTGCCTGCCAAAGACCTATAAATGTGACATGTGTCCGGTTTACTGAGATGCCAGATTAAATACCATGCAAATTATAGATCCCAGCAAGATGACAAAGCCTTGTTTTCTTTTTGTTCAACAATTTTTACAACTTGGAACAGAAGTCATGCAATGCTATTCTGCCATCATACCGCAGTTTACTGATCATCACACAGTATTCTGCATATTGCACATAACATTGATATATTTGTATATCAAACAGTCTTTTTTTCCGCACACCTGTGTTTTTTGGCTCTAAATAAGTTTAAGGATTTTTCTAAATTCTTTTTCAATATGACAGTAATATCTCTCTAAGTGTTTGTAAGAACACTCTACATCCATCTGTTATTTACATTATTCACTTTGCTGAGGTGTCTCCAACAAACCCTGGCTGGATACACTGTATTTGTAATTAATATAACAGCTGTAAAAATATTACCCATACGCTATTAATTGCTAGTCCGGATTGGAAGTCAGCTTTATCCTTAGATGGATGGAGAAACACACAGTGGGGGCTTTTATCCAGCTTTTATACTGACCTTAGCCTGTCAGCTGCTATATACTCTTTGAATGTTCACAGTCTAAAGCTCAACTTGTAAAGTAAATATTTGCAAGTATTTATGTTCCATGAAAATCTGAATGTTGCTTTCGTTCAGTTTAACCTACCACTAGTCACAATATTATAACAATTAAATAAATAAATAAATACACAATTTTTTTTATATACAGTTATGCTCAAAAGTTTGCATACCCTTGGACAACTGGAAATATATGTGATATCAAGAAAACATGAGTGAGCAGGCAAAACACATTTCTTTTATTTCTTATGGGATTCATATTCAACTGTAGGTTATAACAGAATGTTATATTTAAAAAACAAAACATGGTAACAAGGAAAGAAAATGAAATGATCCCTGTTCAAAAGTCTGCATACTCTTAGTTCCTATTACTGTGTATTGCCCCCTTGAGAATCAATGATAGGGTGCAGTCTTTTGTAATAGTTGTCTATGAG